GATGTTGGGTGCAGATGAGGTCCTTCACAAGCCATGGCTAACGACGCCGGTCCCCCGTGCACGTACAGCGTATTGGCTCACATTTTGCTTCGCTATGGTCGGCGTCATTGGGAGTTTTCTCCGCATTTACTTCGGAGCGAAGGGTGTGCAACTCTTACACGGCAACCTGTGCCTGGTGCTGGACGACGAATTCAACGGAAGCCAGATTAATGAGAGTATATGGGCATGGGAAGTCCAAATGGATGGGTTTGGGTGAGCGTTTTCTATTTATTCGTTTCTCTCGAAGAGTAAAACTGATTATGGATTTCTTGCTATAGGAATGGCGAGTTCGAAATGACAACCGACTCGCCTAATAACTCTTTTGTGGAAGATGGCATACTCTATATTGTTCCGACACTCACTTCGGACGTTATCGGTTCCTCTGCAGTATTCGACGGGCACACGTTCAACCTCACAGGATGCACGTCCCTCAACTCGTCTGCGTGCAGCGCCGTGTCAAACATCACATCGCGCACCGTCATCAACCCCATACAGTCTGCGCGTCTCACAACACGCAACAGCTCATCGATCCAGTATGGACGCGTCGAGATCCGCGCGAAAATCCCGAGAGGTGACTGGATCTGGCCCGCACTGTGGATGCTTCCTGTCGACAACACGTACGGGCCGTGGCCGATTTCAGGTGAGATCGACATCATGGAGGCGCGCGGCAACGCGAAGACCTACCCTGCGCAGGGACGCGACTACGTGCGCTCGAGTCTGAACTGGGGCCCGCTCACCTGGCTCAACGAGGTCTCGAAGACGTTCGGTTGGTGGAACCAGCGCCGCCGCAGCTTCGACGAGGACTTCCATATCTACGGGTTCGAGTGGTCGGATAAATTCGTGTATGTTGGTTCCGTCCTATTCTATGTTACTTATTTTAAACGAATTTTCACCGCAGCCGGGCGTACGTGGACTCGCGCCTCCAATACATGCTTGATGTCAGCTTCAACGAGCCGTTCTTCAACCGTGGCGATTTCCCGCCGACCGTCTTCAACGGCTCCTCAGAAATTGCGGTCCCGAACCCATGGGGAGATGATAACTTCTCCGCGCCTTTTAATCAAGGTATAACCTCAAGAGAAATTTATTTCCGTTGTTTTCTGACTAGTCAATGTGCATAAAGCATTCTACTTGATCATGGACGTTGCTGTCGGCGGTACGAGCGGTTGGTTCCCCGATAATGACGGTGACAAGCCGTGGCTAGACCAATCCTTGAGTGCGTTAATGAATTGGGACTTCCATTCGGAATAGCGTTATCTCATCAGTTTTCTTTCCATTAGCTGCGATGTATGATTTCGCGCGCGCACAGGATACCTGGTACGCTACCTGGCCGACGGACGTGCGGGACCGTGGTATGGCTATGTACGTCTTCCGACTTCTACTGTCCCCTTTTCCAACACATCTGATTTCCTCCCAGCGACTACGTGAAGATGTGGCAACTCTGCTAAACATTCATCCTCGCCTTGTCGCCGGCATTTCTTGCCTCTTACTTTTATATAGCTCACATCACGCGGAAAATTCACTCATCTTGCTGCTGCTCGCATTCAAGCTCTTTTTATTCCCCGGCGTTACTTCCTTGTAGAGAATATATTGCAAAACTACAAGACTTTCGCTCTCTACTGACAACAGAACGACTGCCTGTCATATACGCGCATACACGCTTTGTACGATCATTCCCTTCCTTAAACTCAGTCGTTACTGTACTTGCATCGTATATTCTCGTTTGACGGACTAGTTTTCTCTTTTCTGTTCGTTTGGTTATCTTGATACTCGTAATTTACTTGTAGTATGGGTATTATGGACTTCTTGGGGTAAACTTGCTATCATTCTTCCATAATTCATATGGTCTTAGAGCACTTCATAAACAATAAACAAGCAAAATTTGGCTCGAAGGGCGTACTGTATATTTAATACAGAATATGGTCGAGAATGGGTTTGAAGTGATTGGTAAAGAATAAAGATGCAGGAGCACTTCCGCTACTGCCGAAGCGGTGGTATAAACAAAAGTACATAACGCGCTCGCGTACTAGTCTGAGTACAGACGGCAGATACTTATACGCAACGTTCGCGAGCGGAGGTTCCAAAATAAAAGTAAAATTTGCACAGATTATGGTACAACGCGAACAAAGCGTACAGTAGTCGATACAAGGTGAGAATAAAATGCAGGAAACTCAGCAGAACCGGTCGCTGTGTTATCAATGATATTAGCCACGCTGAGCCCTGCACTGAGCAGAAAGAAATGCTCGCCTTTTCAGTTTTGCTCGGCGGTCGAGAAGCGCCTCGGATAGATGGCCCTCTTTACGCGCCTTTTTGAGCTGCAAGTGATATAGTCAGCAGGAAAGGACAGTGAGCAGAGGTAAAGAAACCCGTACCTCTACTTTATCAGCATTTGAAGTGATCGACCTGCCTGCTCCCCAGGCTTGATAGATATGACTGAGGCAATTTAGTCAGGACGTTATTAGGAAAAAGCGAGGAGGTAAAAGCAACCCACTTCGTCCCCGCTTCGTCAATCTTCTTCTTTGCTTCGCCCTCCTTTTTCTTCCTCTCTTCCTCGCCCGCCTCCCGCTTGTACTTGCTCTGCACCTTGATGTAGAACCGCTCGTTGAACCCGACCTCCTCCGCGTCGCCGCGCAGCGCGAGCGCGCCGCCGGCGACCTCGTCCACGCCCATATACTTCTCGTACACGTTCTGGAACGCGACCATGCCGTCGGGGAAGATGACCGGCGTCCACTCCTCCTGCGGCCCGCGCGCCTCGCGGAACGCGGAGACGAGCCCGTGCGCGTCGCACGAGAGGAACTTGCTCTCGCCGGACCCCGCGGCGGACGCGACGCCCGAGCGCAGGTTGATCGTCGGCGAGCCCGCGACGCGCGTGACGACCCACACCTGCGCGACGTCCGTCGGCGTCCTGTCGAGCAGGCCCACGCCGGCTTCGCCTTTCTCCTCCTCGTCGGCTGCCGCACCCTCCTCCTCCTCCTTCACTTTCTCTTTGTCCTTGTCCAGCTGCGTGAGCACGATGCGCCCGCGCGTCGCGTCGAAGGCGACGCACACGGGCGACGGGTCGGAGGGGTGGAAGATGAAGGTTGGGCCGCGGATCTCGAGCGGGTTGTCCGGGCGGACCCACGTCTCGTCGTCCTCGTCCGCAGAGCCGTCGCGCTTTCTCCGACGGCGCGACGAGCCTTCGCCGCTTCCATCTTCATCGTCAGCGTGTTTGCGCTTCTTCTTGGACTTGTCGCCCTTGAATTTGAGCTTCGTCGGCATGGTTGGTGACGAAGACGTGACTGCAACTAGATTCGGCAATGGGTGGCGATCACCGCTCATGTACACCTTTTCTTTACTTTACAAAAAGTGAAAAAACTCCCCCGTCTTATTTTTTCTCAGTAAGTATCTATATAGAATAAGACAGCACAAAATAGACATTGATGAAGCTGAATTTGTTTTTTTAAATGTGACCAATAAAAAGCGGCTTGACCGTGAGTCGAATGGCGAGCTTGTTTAGCGGTGTTTGCCTTAGTCGCCGGCACGGACGAAAAGTACACGACGAGCTCAAATCAAAGACGACGTCCGACACCTCAAGACAAAAATGAAGACCACCACCGGTACGTCGCCTTGCTGCTGAAATGCGTATTCAAGCCCGTCTGTGTGCAGAGTCGGAGGAGGGCGAGCGACGGGAGGCCGGGCAGGCGGTGGATGTGTGGTGGACTGCCTGGATGGGCTCTGCGCGGGACGGGGCGGGCGAGCAGACGGCATGCTGATTCTCTGTCGATTTCTCCAATCTGCGCAGACTTCTCGTCGTCGCGCCGCAAGTCGCGCAAGCTGCACTTCGCCGCGCCCTCCTCGGTGCGGCGCAAGATAATGTCCTCCGCCCTCGCGAAGGACCTGCGCGCAAAATACAACGTGCGTTCTGCTCTTTCTTCCCCCTCCTCTCTCCTCTACCGCTCACACACAACCGGGCGCACGCACAGGCCCGCTCGCTCCCGATCCGCAAGGACGACGAGGTGCGCATCGTGCGCGGGAAGTACAAGGGCCGGGAGGGCAAGGTCACGCAGGTTTACCGCAAGAAGTGGGTGATCCACGTCGACCGCGTGCAGCGCGACAAGTCGAATGGCGCTTCCGCGCCCATTGGTGTCCACCCGAGCAACGTCGTCATCACCACGATCAAGCTCGACAAGGATCGGCGCGCGATCCTGGAGAGGAAGGACCGCAAGAAGAACCCGTCTGCGCGCCAGAGCGACGACATCGAGGCCGAGGTGAGTCGTCAGGACGCTTCGTGCCCCATCGACCTTACTCATATCTGTGTCCAGTAATCGTTCTGTTGCTTTGTTGGGCTTTTCTTTCTTTCTTATCCTCTTTCTCTCATTACTTGCATGTTACCAAAATCCGCTGGCCTATGTATCGCAATTACGCACACGATATGCAACACGCGATTTGTCGTCGCCTGGGAATTGTACGAATACGACAGAGGGCACGTGCGACTGAATTGGTCGGTACGACAAGCGATTGCTCTTTTGCGTCAGCGCATCTCGCCGGTCATCTGAGGACTGCTATAAGAGTGTGTTGCGTATAATGCGACTAACGGGCGAAAAGACATTACTGCAATTTTCCAGACGTTATATCCGATATGATATACTTTCTGGCTATCACCATGACCACTTGGTTTGCATCTGGCTTCCGGTTCGTGAAGTCGACGTTGACCGTGACTGAGGGAAAAAACCAAGGAACGAATGAGAATAAAATGATACTATCCTCCTTCCACTTCGGAAAGTCCAATGCTATTCTTCCATATCTTCAACACCGGTCACTTCGGGGACAATAGCAACCTCTTCCCCCGCTCCGCCCGGGAATCTCAAACTTATATTTGGACAAGTCGAGTTATCCATGCTCGAAAGCATTTCTGCCTCTTGTTACAAACATTCAAATTTTCAGATCAGCTCTACATATAAGGTATCTTTGACACGACTCATGTTGCCGCAATAGCTCAGTTGGGAGAGCAGTAGACTGAAGTGTTATTCATGGAAGTGAATTGAGCATGGTTTCTAAAGGTCCCCCGTTCGAACCGGGGTTGTGGCATCAAGACAAATACATCGATTTTTTACATTAAGGAGGCTTCGGAAACCGAGGAAGTCGAGGAGGATGTATCGTTTCATGCTCTCGACATAGTGCTTTTTTTGGACAATAGAGACATTGAGAAAGGCTGAAATGTTCATTTTATGCCGATCTCATATTGGAAATACCGAAAGCCTGGGATTATAATGCCTGTGAAGACAATTACTGATTTGTTCGGCCTCAACTTTATGTGCTCTTGTTAGCTGTTTAACGTCATCTTGGAAGTTTAGCTTGCTTCTTGGACATGAAATAATCGGAATTTGCTCAAACTCCGCTTTTCTGTGGTTCTTGGCATGTCGGCATTGAAAAATCTGTAAATTCTGAAATAGCGGGAAATGATTATATGTGAAGTTCGAACAGCATTATATGTAGCTCCGTTAATAGGACGGAGACGAATTAGGTGAGATAAAGTCGAAATACTCATTTTCGGGGATATCGCGAGAACTATGTAAGCCAGCGTAAACTCAGTTTTATAATGAGTAAAATACATTGCATTCGAATGTCCGTAAAGTGCGCAACAGACATAGCATACAAAAGCAAAATCGCACGTCTAATCACTGTCAATGTAGATGACATCGTCGTCGTCAACCCCCCAATCTGGCGTCGGACTGCGCTCGCGTTGCTTCTGTGCGGCGCGAGAGCTCCGCGTCGGCCCACGGGGTACACGCGCCCCGCCCGCGCCCACGGGCCCGTCGGCTGGAGCGCGCCGCGAGGAGGCGCTGGTGAGCGCCTGTCCCTGGCCCCATCTAGCCTCGTCCGGCGTGTTCCCCTCCTCCCTACCCTTGCCCTTCGCGCTTGCGGAGGCAGAGGCAGAAGAAGACGGTGTGCCAGAAGAATTCCGCCCGGAAAGCGTGTTGCCCGCGCCCCCAAAGTTCGAGGGTTCCGCCGACTCCGAGCCAGCACCATCTTCCGGCTTGGCCGGACGCTTGTACGGGATGACCTTGAAGCCAAAGAAAAGCTTGCCATGCGGCAAGTTTAGCGGGGCCGGTGCACTGGCGTCCGATTCGAGGCTGTCGTTCGTAACTATTCGCTTTTTGCTGAGAGACAGTAAACATCGCGAAAGAGACAACGAAAAGGACTGAGGACTCACTCTGTGCGATAGACTTTGCTTCCCTCCATCATATTCTCGACACCCCTCTGAGTGATCCCGCGTCCCTTCGTCTTCCGTCCAGCCAACGTCTCGCCTTTGCCCTTGAAACTCTCCCACTTATCTCCGTCTTTGGACACCGTAGTCTCTCCAGTAGAAGACCCGGCAAAAGCACCTGACAAAGACGAGGGCGGTCTCGATGAACCAGGCGTAGATGAATTCAAGTCGATCTTGAGTTTCGATGCCATCGTCGGTGGTGGCGCAGCCTTCGGCCGCTCTGGCTCCTTATAACCCACAGGCGCCGCAAAATCGACTTCAAGATCCGTGTCGACGATGCTGATACCTTCACCACCCGGTTGCGTCTCCATTATTAGAAGGTCAAAGATAATACTGTTGTAACTAATCTCGATAATATCGCCTTGCGTCAAGGCGGAGAAATTCCGTAAAGCATGCTCCAAACTGTAAGAAAAGATTGAGACATTAATGCCCTGACTGGGGATTGGGAAAGGATTCACTTACACGGCTTTCGGGTCAGATATCTCCAGGAAATGTACAGACTGTGCCTGTAACTTGACAAGCTTGCCCTTCGGAAGTTCCGCGCCTGTTATACGGATCGGATCGCCTTCATTAAGTCGCAGCGACTTCATCATCCAATACGGCAGGTGGACACAGCCCTCTTCGGCGATAAATTCAAGGACACCTGCATGTGTTGAGGCACCCGGGTTCTGCGGATTGTTGAGCTTGAACATCCACGGGGATTCCAAGTCTAAAGCTGTCAAGCTCGCCAACGCAGACGGCGGCAGGATGACTATCCCAATTGCATTAGCAATCGGCTGACGTGTGGCGTGGCAGTTGGACTCACCTTTCCCGCCATAACTCAGGATAGTGCGTTCTTTGCCAGGCAGCATGGCCACACTGTACGCCTTCATATATTCATCGAAGTGGCGAGCTGGCCGTCTCATTTGCGGACCGAACCCGCCCCCGCCCGCGAACCCCCTGAGTAGGAGATGTGAACACGTTATGTTCAGCCACGGAAGGATACGTACTGGGCGAGTTGGGCAAAGAGACCGGCGCCGCCGGCGCCAAACGGATCGTCGTCTCCGAACTATCGAGAGCGTAAACTTCAATCCTGGGAGCAGGAAAAAACATCACTCACCATTGCCATATGATCTGAAAGCAATTCGAGTGCTGTGTGGTGGTCGTTGTAGTCTAGAGACAAGATGTACGCGTCAGACGCGTCAACGTAATGCGTGGCCTAATACGGAAATTGACTGTCACCTTCACTTTTGCCCAGCACGTCTTCACGCGTCTAACTCGTTCTCTGCTTCCGCCTGCTCCTTCAAAATGTCTTCGCCAATGCAGCCAAAAGTTGTCGCGGGATCCGGGAACACCGGCGCGAACAGGGCTTTCAATGATAAGGTAAGTCCATCTTGTGATCGGGTTCGAAAGGGACTGAAGCTGACGACGCGTCAATATGTAGAGTAAACCACAGGAAGTGCGTCTGTCGAATATGACAGCGGCAAAAGGTTTGAAATTTCGTCAAGGATTGGTGTGCGAAGCTTGACATGTATTGTGGATTATAGCGATCAGCGATGCCGTACGGACGTCGTTGGGGCCGAAGGGTATGGACAAGATGGTGCGTTCATGCTGCAGAATTTTATTTGTAGATCGCAATCTTATGTCGAGCTCTAGATTCAAACGCCGAAGGGCGAGGTTATCATCACGAATGACGGCGCTACCATTCTGAAGAGTATCCAGGCGTTGCACCCTGCTGCTAAGATGGTACGCATATTGTCTGTTATTATTATGTGTATAAAATACCAATCCCCTCCTTCAGCTTGTAGACCTGTCCATGGCACAAGATATCGAGGCTGGTGATGGTACAACGTCGGTCGTCGTTCTTGCGGGAAGCCTGCTGGGAGCAGCAGAAAAAATGCTCGAAAAGGGGATGCACCCGACAATTGTCGCCGAATCATTCACGAAGGCTGCCATCAAATCGGTTGAATACCTGACGGAAATATCGACCCCGGTGGACTTGAGCGACAGGGCAAGCCTTCTCCGCGCAGCGACCACGTCATTGTACTCGAAGGTAAGCAATTTCCCTGATTTAAAGGCGAGCCAGAAGGCTGAAATAAATGCAGATCGTATCTCAATATTCGTCGACGCTGGCGCCCATCGCCGTTTCTGCCGTCACTCGCCTAGCGACGGAGACCTCGTCGAACGTCGACCTCCGTGATGTGCGAATCGTGAAGAAGGTGGGCGGGACGATCGAGGATACCGAGCTGGTCGACGGGGTGGTTCTGAATCAAAACGTCGTGGTTGCTGGAGGCGGCCCGACCCGTGTGGAGAAGGCGAAGATTGGTATCATTCAGTTCCAGCTGAGTGCGCCCAAACCGGACGTAAGTCTCTCCCGTATATGCTTTATAGCTGTCCAGCGGTTGAAACCCACTTTCTAGATGGACAATACCGTGGTCGTGAACGACTACCGCCAGATGGACAAGATCCTAAAAGAGGAGCGCCAGTACCTCCTCAACCTCTGCAAAAAGATCAAAAAGGCGAACTGCAACGTGCTGCTCATCCAGAAGTCGATCCTGCGCGACGCCGTCACGGAGCTCTCGCTGCACTTCCTCGCGAAGCTCAAGATCCTCGTCGTCAAGGACGTCGAGCGCGACGAGATCGAGTTCCTCTCGAAGAGCCTCGCGTGCAAGCCGATCTCGGACATCGAGGGCTTCGCGGAGGACAAGCTCGGCTACGCGGAGCTCGTCGAGGAGACGAGCAAGGCCGGCGCGAAGATCGTCAAGATCACGGGCGTGCGCAACCGCGGGCGCACGGTCAGCGTGCTCGCGATGGGCGGCAACTCGCTTGTGCTCGAGGAGAACGAGCGCAGTCTGCACGACGCGCTCTGCGTCGTGCGCTGCCTCGTCAAGAAGCGGTATGTTGCGCTAGAAGTATACGCGCATTTTTGTTTCGACTGATTGGTTTCTCTCAGCGCGTTGATCGCTGGCGGCGGCGCCCCGGAGATCCACGTGTCGCGCGCGCTGTCGCAGTACGCGCATACCCTCAAGGGCATGGAGGCGTACTGCTTCCAGGCGTACGCGGACGCTCTCGAGGTCATCCCGACCACGCTCGCCGAGAACGCAGGCATGAACCCCATAGCGATCGTGACCGAGCTGCGCAACCGGCACGCGCTGGGCGAGCGCAACGCGGGCATCAACGTGCGGACGGTGAGTAGTCAAGTGACTGATTTTTTACAAACGGAGAGGTGCTGACTGCTGCTTCTGAAGGGACTGATCTCGAATATCTTGGAAGAGGACGTGGTGCAGCCGCTCCTCGTGTCGACGAGCGCACTCGAGCTCGCGACGGAGACAGTGTGCTTACTCCTGCGTATCGACGACTATGTGGCGGCGCGGTAAAGACATACGTAGAAGAATGCAAACACATTGTACTTGATCTCACACTTGATCTCACACCAACATTACTTGAGGGCCCCAAAGCACCTGAATGAAAAGCCAGTAATTATACAAAACACATAGGTAGTGATACAAAGTAGCACAGTCATGCAGCAGTCGCAGCAGCAGGCATATTCGCCGTCCCCAGTCCCGCCCCCGATCCCGACGCCGATCCCGGAGGGGCACCCCCCGCGCCGGCCTTCGCCCTGCTGCGTCCCCACTTCACGCTCACGCGCACGCCGCCAAAGTCGAGGCCGGCAGCCCACGCCTCCGCGGCGCGCTCCGCAGCGGGGCGGTCGACGAAGTTCACGAACGCGCAGCGCGACTTGGCGACGTGCACGACGGACCGGATCTGCGCGGGCGCGGCGCCCGCCAGCGTCTGCGCGGCGCGCGTGCGCACGCTCTGCTCGCTCGCGTCGGCCGGGAGC